TAGCAGTGTGAAGAAAAAGGGAACCATGTTACTGAGACAGAGCTAATAAGAGTCCTCCCTACCCTCTATATTCTTCCTCTCCTCCTTATGGTCCTGCCTGAGGTCTTGATTTCATGTGACACTAGCTTTCTGAGTCAGGACATGAACCAAGGAGCTTGGCAGAGCCAGAAAAGGCACTTTCAAAGTTCCAGGGTCTGGAAGGCACGGGAGGAACTGATTTTTGAGGAGAGTGGAGGTCTCATCAATTGGAAGGAAACACGGCTTACATCATAATCAGAGTCCCCCAAATGAAGCTGCATCCCAGGATGGTAGAACTGGGGCCACTTGAAGGTCTGAAAGAGGTCATAGCTGTGAACTCTGCTTTGTTCAGCTAGTGAAGTACTTAAGGGACTGTGCCCTGTGCAGAGGCTGCTGCTGTTTTAGTCATGGGATATCTGTCCCATCTCGCCCATAGATTGATAGCTGTTTGAGGGCAAACCTGTATCTAACTCTCCTCAAGTTCCCTGGCAGGGTGAGCTCATGTCTGCAGAGCTCATAGGTGGTGGCTAAAACAACTTATCAGATGGAACTAATCATCTTTTTTTTTTTTTCCCTTTTTTGTCTTTTTTACTGACCGGTAACGGGATCACAACCCTCGGTGTTGCGCCCGCACCGTGCTCAACCAGTGAGCAGGAACGCTGTTTGAGGGCAAACCTGTATCTAACTCTCCTCAAGTTCCCTGGCAGCGTGAGCTCATGTCTGCAGAGCTCATAGGTGGTGGCTAAAACAACTTATCAGATGGAACTAATCATCTTTTTTTTTTTTGCCCTTTTTTGTCTTTTTTACTGACCGGTAACGGGATCACAACCCTCGGTGTTGCGCCCGCACCGTGCTCAACCAGTGAGCAGGAACCGGTCTCCACATGGGATCCGAACCCTCGGCGGGAGCGCCTCCGTGCTCCCAAGCGGCGCACTCTCCAGTGCGCCACCAGACCGGCCCGGAACTAATCATCTTTGTTGGTGATACTGCCATAGTGCCTGATAATAGACATGCTTTCTACAATGGGAGTAATATATTTTGGAAAAAAATATTTATGTGTTTTCTTTTTTTTTTTTTTTTTTTTGCAGTAGTAGGACTTTGCTTAGTTATATCCAAAAGAGGCTCCATCTGCTTTACAGGTGGAGTTAAGGCCTCTATCATGTAAAACAGTACTTTCTTGGCCTCTGCCCCCCTCTCCTTTGGCAACTGAGCCTAGAGAACTGATGCCCACAAAGTTCTCTTGCAGTGAGTAGGAGATTCACCTGGTTCTCACTAAGGAAGACTGGAGTCAGGAAGAAAGAAGAGATGGCATAGGGGAAGGAAGGGAAAAGATCATTCCTGTAAGCCCAGGGATGATGAAGCAGTGAGGAGGAGAGAGAGGGAGGGATACGAGTGTGTCTTCCATTAGACAAGTTGGATAGGGCACCAAGGACTGTGTCTGCATCTCTGTGACCGGTCACTGAGCACTCACCACACATCAGACACTGGTTTCCCTCTATGTGTGCAGCCTGGGCCCAGCTGAGCCTAACCTGGGATTCAGAGACTGTTTGGGTCCTCCTAGTGGGTGAGGCTGGAAGCCCTCTAAGTATTTAGGATTGATATGTGGCAGAGAAGAGGGCTCTTGAGAAGGATGTTAAGGCATGATTCCCTGGGGACAGAGAAAGCGAGAGACAGAGAAGACAGTAAGGTATCCATTACCCAAAATGGCCCTGCAGGAGAAGGCCAAAGCCTGTGAATATAGAGGGGCTGCAAGCCAAAGCTGGAGGGATTGTTTTCTTTAGCTGTGGGGCACAAGCAGAGTTGCTCCTGAGCTTCAATGTGACTCAGAATGGACGAGAGGGTCTTATCCCTGCTTCTTCATGAGGCAAGCTTTGCTTCTGAAGGGACTGTGGCCCAAAAGGGCTGGGTTGGACTGAGGTAGGTCATGGAAATGTCCTAACATAATGTGGGCATTGACTGTAATCCAGTGCAATGTGTGTGTTAATACTGCATCATTCATACCCAGAGTCTGGAGTGTGATTCTCATCATAACCCTATGAAATAGGCATTATTATTCCAACTTTATTGATGAGGAAAATGAGACACAGAGAGGCTAAGTGACTTGCTCAAATGACCCTGTTAATAAGTGGTTAGACACAGGATTGACACCAGTGGGCACCCTTTTAGCCACTTCTCCTAAACACCATGTTTAACATTTCAGATGGTACATCCACTTGGGTTACTGGGGAAGCTGAGTTACCCTCTTAAGGCAAAAGTCATAGAGAATAACCATCCTTACAAGGCCTTTGATCTTTTGGGGGAGGATTTTTAGGTAATATGGATAATGTCTTTACCGAAGGGGACATTTCTAGCATTCTCTGGGGAGATAACAAAAGACAAGCTAGGGAATGTCTCTGGGGATAGAAGGATCCCTGGAGTCCCAAGAAACATGGAGACATGATCCAGGGTACAGTACTAGCCATAGAGCAGCACCCGCATCATTCAGATCCAGCCATTTCATAGACATATCGGCTGATTCTATATTAGAGTTTCTGAAAGACTGATACATGGAAAACTAGTTTTGCCATGAGAAATAGAGTTCTGTGGTCAAGTAATACATATTGTACCCTTCTTCTTTTACAGTAGTGATGTGTATTAAAGGCTCTATAATGTCTCTTAACAAAGAAATATGTTTGATTATGTTTAATTTGAGGTCTCCAAATTTATTAGAACGTGAAAACTTTTTTTTAAAAAGTAATGTCTGTTAGCAGCCCATAGAACTGGAACTAATAATGTCTCTTAACAAAGAAATATGTTTGATTATGTTTAATTTGAGGTCTCCAAATTTATTTGAACGTGAAAACTTTTTTTTAAAAAGTAATGTCTGTTAGCAGCCCATAGAACTGGAACTGCCAAGAACAACTAGTTTGTTTTTATCACTGAATTAATGAGTTTATTTGACATCATGTGGGTAGAACCTTGGGAATTTTTTATGGTTTTATACTCCAGCCTCAAGTGTGTGTGTGTATACACACACACACACACACACACACACACACACACTAAAATACCTAGGGTTAGATTGTGCTCGTGCAAGCTTGCTAAAGTTCATAAATTGAAATGGATATCCTTTATAATATTAATAAGGCTTCTTGCTATAGGTATTTTCACCAGTAATTCATGATAGAATAAATGTCAAGGAAAGCGATGAGTCTGTCTGCTGTCACCTGATGGCATGCATGTTTTGAGAGAATTTATCCACTGGAGGTTTTTGAAATGAGCAAGGTTGGCATTTTATGCAGGTCATTCATTATCTTCCTACCTATGGACTGAAGCAGACACTTGACATTCATGATGGATATTTTCTGAGACCTTTATGGCTTCCCTAATTGGCAAATACCACTAGAGCAAATAATTTCCTTCATGAGACCTTTTTATTCTGACCCAAACCATCACGCTCATGGAGGGTTTCACGTTTTCTTATTCATTACCAGGGCCAATTTGTACTTGGTAATTGACAATGAGAAAGAACATGAACCTATTAGGAGGTGGCCAGACTTCTGACTTCTCTACTCTCAATGACAGTTTTGCTAGGAAGTTTAAATGTATGTTTCAGAAGAATGGTCAATGTCTACAATGCCACAGACTGCTGGAATTGCTCATGAATAGCCAAAACTGTGAATGTAAATCTGCAAATGCCAAAGATCTCCTGTTCTTTGTATTTGCAAAGACATCTTCACTTTCACCCTGTGCTGGGAGGCAGGAAGATATTCTGGCTTAGGGAAGGAAGAAAATGTTTGTAGTCCTGGAGACTCAAGCTTATCTTTGCTGTTGCAAAATAGCCTTGACTGCAGTATTTGTTTGAACCCCAAGGGCATGTATCTCTCAGCAACTTCAAAAAGTGATTGCTGTACTTTGGTGAAAAGTCTCAGTGAGCTCTTGGGATGGGGAAAAAATGAGTTCCCCTGAGCTAAGAAAATAGGATTGTACTTGAAACTGCAACCTGATTCCCCCAACCCTCCGCCAACTCTATGCTTTCTAATGTTAATCTTTAAGGCCACCTTTCTCATTGTTCATTAATTTTATCTTTGGGACTCAGAGTCTTAGAAAAAAGCTATTTTTCTTAGAATGTGTGATTATTATTAAAGTAAAAGGGCAGGAACATTTTTATGAAACTTGGGAGCTCTCCCTAGGATGGCTGGGTTACCTGACACAAATTAAAGCAATCAAGAAAGAGGAAAAATGCCCAGAGGCCAATTGCAGAAATTAATAATGCCATTCAGTTTTGAGCATGTAAAATAGCTGGAAAAAATAAAAGCCTTCAAAGGCTGATCAGTTGCTTTGCTTACATGGAAAGCACATTGATATTTAAACCTGTGGATCTTTGGAGCTCTCCAGTTTTCATCAGGCTGAATGATATCATTTAACAAAAGAGCAGATTCTAAGGAATCCAGAGTACATCCAAAGTGGAAATATATGACTTTTGTTCCTTAGGACCTCAATCTGACCAGCCAGTATAGGTCTGAAGGCTACTGGGTGACAATGGCCATTTAAGACACCTTGATGTTTATTGAGGAGGTAGGATGAGCTTGCTCTTGGGAAAATCTACTAGAGCTTCCTGCTTAGGGCTTTCATGTGCTTTTGGTGTGAAATTCCTCTAGGCCCCCTAGGACCATGGACCCCACAAACCCTCTACAGTAAAATGTTTTCTACATAACTACTCCCCAGGCACACAAGGAAAGCTCAATAAATAGTATTGAAAGACCTGACTTATATGTTTCTCATGAAGACTTGGGAATTTTGGCTTGTCCCTGCCAGTGGTATGGGGGCTGAGCATCTCCTCATCTATTCTCCAGGCTCGAGGCCTGCACATGGGCTGGCTATCAAGATTCCTCTTTCCCTCCTGGTGGGCTGGGAGTTGAGGGGGGAGGGGATGGTGAGAGGGGCTCTGAGCAGCCCTGTAAGGCTGTCAGTTCCGTGTTTGGAGAGAAGTCGGGCATTACCAGTCACTTTGTGGGAACATGAAAAATGCATGAGCACAAGGCTAGGCCAGCAGCTCTGCGAGGTGAGGTGAGGTGAGGCAGGAAGGCCAAGAGAGGTGGGGAAGCTTACCTTTTTGACTTCGTATTTAATGGCGAGTTTGATCCTGCTCAGACTTGGACGGTGGTGGTCGGACCAGACTTGGAAGTTCACATCACCATTTAAAATCGCTTCCACCTCTTCTGTATCTCGGCACAGGTCCAGCACGCCCACCACAAAATCCTTGCATTGCATAGATAACTTCCTGTAATCGTTCTAACAGAATAAAGAGAAATCAGGGGTGTATCACACCGAACCCCACAGATCGGCTATCCCAGCACAGCAGTGTTGATCAGCAACCGTCCACCAAGTGTGAGCTTACGGAGCACATTGGAACAAAGGGGATTTGCTGAATCCAGAAGGCAGGGCAATGTCTCTTGATACACAACCTAGAGGACATCTTCTAAGCCAGTACTTGTCATGGTCACCTGCATCAGAGTCACCATGTGTACATGCTGAAGTTGCAGATTCCCAGGCCCCACTCCAGACTTACTGAATTAGAATTCCTGGGGATGGGACCCAGGAATTTTCCTTTAACCTTGCTCTCTAAGTGATTTAGATGCCTGCCACAGCCCATCCCAGGCTCTTTCAAAGCAGCAGCTCTTAGTGCCCAATTCTGAGCCCAATCTGAGGGAGGAGTAATAAGGACATGAACTTTTAAGGCTGATGGAAATAACACTTCACTCATTTACACCAAACTGTATTGGTGACTCCTCCACACAGTATGTTTACCGGAAAGATATGGCTGGGATGCTAAAATTGGTAAAAGATGTACACAGGTGTGCTTTTTATCCTTCTTTTTTAATATGCTGGAAAATCTGCTTGTAAATTACAAATTTAAAAATCAAATGTAATTTAAATCTTACAGGATCTTTTTTTATTACAAATCCTTTTGTATGGCAAATCACGGCTTCTTAAATTACCTGCCTATTGAATAAACATTTTTATGTCTTGACCCTTTTGTTATTGTTGTTTTGTTTTTTTAATGAGATTTTAAAGGATTTCTTTCTTCCTTTCCCTAGGTTTACCTGTCTAAGTGTCTTTGAGAGGCTGACTTCCTTTCCTAGTGACATGCCAACTTCTCCGTCCCCGCAACAGACTGTTTAAATTGCAGATAATGATCCAAAATGTCAGACAAAAGATTGTGTCATGTCACCCTCATACCATTGCTCCCCCGAAATATTTTCCCCTAGAGGCCTCCTTGTTGGTTTCTTAGTTGAAAAGAGGCTACTCAGAAACTATACAAGAGCCAAATGTCACCTTCCATGTTGATCCATGTCAACAACCCTCAGACTGGAAAATAGCTGGCAAACAGGAGAGCAGTGTTGCCTTCCCAGAACCTGGATTTCTCAGCAAATAGGTGGGAGTCTGGCAAACTGAGGAGCTCTGCCATTTTTCTGAGTTAATGATTCTTGTCTCCTTCCAGGACTGCTGCATCAAAATGTCACTTAGCATTAGAGAAAGAAGTAAGTAAATGCTTGTTTGCTGGGAAAAGGAAGAGGATCAAGAAAATACTTTCAGATGAGAGAGGCTACTCTTGATTTTTATATATAATTTAGGTAGAGGAAGGGAGTTTTGGAAAATTTGAGGTAGACAAATGACTGCTCAGCTCAGGCAGATTGTCATGGAATAATATTAAGGTAAGATACTGGGAGTGTTTCAGGTTTTGGCATCTAGCACCTGCACAGAGCTGGGTGGTGACATGAAAAGCTGTGTTCTGGGCTCTTCTATCCCTAGCACTCACCCATCTACCATTCATTCATTCATTACTGAGGACCTACTATGTACCAGACAGTTAAGAATTAGCAGTGAACAAGGCAAATGTGTCCTCTGAGTCGTGTGGGGGTGGAGGACAGTGAAGATCCACGCTCAGAGCTGCACAGGAGCAAATGTTAAGTAGAACTTGCTCAGAGCTTGTCCTGGCTAAGATATTCTGCAGAGCCCTGATGAGCTGGTGGTGGGAGGCTCAAGGTACACTGGGCTCAGCAAATGGACATGGTGGGTCACCTCACCACATGGACCCTTCAACTCTGGAAGCCCCTCTGTTGTAACTCACATTCCCAGCGTCTCCGGCCCCCACCCTATCAATTTTATTGTCCCTTTCTTGAGAACAAGGAGTCTCTGACTATTATTGCCTGTTCCTGGTAAAACAGACATTGTCCTGTTTGCTAGACCACACCTCATCTCTTGGTGGAAACTCCTGCCTAGAGCTGAATGCATGGATGGGTACAGGAGAGGAAGTAGAAAGGGCATGACCCAGCCCTTGGCCCCAGCTCCCCATGCTACGAGCAAGTCAGGCTATATGCCCAGAGCCTCTGCACATATCTGGGTTCAGTACAGTTCAGAACAGAAGCTGCCACTTTATTAGAAACTGTCACTTCCCTGAGCTTTTTCAGCCAGCCAGCTGTCAAAACAGGAAGCACCAAAGAAGCCAAAGCAGGTGATTTGTTTCTTGCCTCCATACTAGACACTCAGGCTGGAAGGCAATAAGCCTTCTGGTGTCTGCAGATGGCTGGAAGGAATAGAGAGAATTCAGACCTGCCAGGAAGAAGGAGATGACATGCACATGGATGGTAAGAGAGACAGCCACAGGTGAACATCTCCGAGGAATTATCATGATTTATTGGGTGAACCCTGATCTCAGTGAGCTTTCCAAGGCACACTCCTCACTGTAGTTGGAGGTAGATGAGACACATCCCTAAAACCTCACAGGTGTCTTTTAAAAACATTTTAAATATTCCTGAACACTGAGGTCTGCCAGTCCCAATGGGTGACAAGTGCTCTACCTGCATTATTTTACTCAATCCTTATAAAAGCCTGTGATGGTAGGACTGTCTCATTTCCAACTTACAGATGAGGAAACTGAGACTCAGAGAGATAAACTAACAGGCTGAATCCACTTCTCTTCACTGATCTCTGTGTCACTCTCTCACCTTCATTGGACATTTTAGCTCCTGTCTCACTGTCACTCTCCCACCACTATTGCTGTTATTATTCTTGGTAATCCACTTCTCTTCACTGATCTCTGTGTCACTCTCTCACCTTCATTGGACATTTTAGCTCCCGTCTCACTGTCACTCTCCCACCACTATTGCTGTTATTATTCTTGGCGGTTTCAATATCCAGGAAGATGACTCTCCCATTACCCTGTCCTATCACTTCCTTGACAACTGCTTTCCCAATGCCTTTCTACTCAACCCAAACCCAGCCACTCGTTCTTTTAGTTATTGCCAATAACTGAAGATCCTCCGTGGCCTGAATTCAAGTCTCTCTTCAACCACCACATCCTATTTGTCCAGTTCACTGCCTCTTGGACCCCAACTTTAGTGATTCTTCACTTCTACCAGACCTATAAGCCATTGACCATACCTCCTATTCACTGGTTTTTACTCCCTTTAGGTCAGTGTCTCCCTCCTGGCAGACATGACCTTATATTTCATGATCAATCGATCTTCATAATCGTCTTAGCACATATCATTAATTTTCTTGCCCTCTTATTTCATTGTCTTCAGTGGATAAAAGCCTGACCTTGGTTGAGTCTAACTCTCCACCACTCTTGTCCTGCCTCTGCACAGTAAATGTGGCTGAGAACACAGCCACACTGATCAGTCCTGCTGTAAACTCACTACTTCCAACCTCAAGTAGTCCTTAGTGCTCTTGGGCAGTTCACTCTCCCACTCTCCTAAACAAACACTTCTTCCTCTCCTCAGTCTTCTAACACCTCCTCCCTCTCCCGACTCTCAGATGAGGACCTGTTTCCTACTTCATTAAGAAAATAGAAATCATCAGAAGAGAAGCTCCCTGTGCTCACACTATTGAATGTGTCTACCACAATCATCTGTGTCACGCACTCTGTTTTCCCTCTTCTTACTATGGGTGAACTGCCCCTGATCTTCTCTAAGGCCAACTCCTCCACTTGTGCACTGGTTATCAACCTCCTATGCCTACTCAAGGATATGGCTCCTGCAATCTTCCTCTCTCTCTCTTGCATTTTCAGTTTCTCCTTTTCCCTGCTGGCTCATCATTCAAACATGCTGTTATTTCTCTTGTCTTAAAAAGACACACAAAAATTTCTCTTGACTCCATTCCCCACTCTACTACTCCAGTTTTCTGTTCCATTTTATAGCAAAACTCCTCAGTAGAGTTGTCTACACTCATTGTTTCCAATTGCAGTCTTTCCACTCTTTCTTGTCCTGTTCAATAACGCTTTCATACCCACTGACTCCACTGTGACTGTTCTTGCCAAGGTCACAAATGACTTCCATGTTGCTAAATTCAATCATTAGTTTTCAATCTTCTCAGTCTTCATCTTACATGAACTATCAAGTGCTTTGACATAGCTGATCCCTTCCTCCTCCTTGATATGTATTCTTCACTTGGTTTCCAGCATAATATACTCTTTGGTCTTTTCTTTTTCTTTTTC